TAGCTTTCTTAAATATACCCTACTTGCCTAATTTTCTGAGTTTAAATATTTATATTTGTTCTCAGCATGTATAATCAAATTATACTTAAAATTAAAGCTATTCAATGATTAGTCAAAGGCAAATTTTAGTAATGGTAAAATTAATCCAATTTTAGTTCTTCATGAAGCTCATGAGGCAATGCATACACTACACATTCATGGTAATTCAAGTAAATACAAAATTATGGTTAACATAGCTCATTTCTTTTTTAAAGATTTATTTATTTATTTGAAAGTCAGAGTTATACAGTGAGAGAAAAAAAGGTAGAGAGAGAGGTCTTACATCCACTGGTTCACTCACTCCCCAAATATCTGCAACAGCCAGAGCTGCGCCCATTCAAAGCCAGGAGCCAGGAGCTTCTCCAGGTCTCCCACATGGGTGCAGGGGCCCAAGGACTTGGGCCATCTTCTACTGCTTTCCCAGGGCATAGCAGAGAGCTGGATCAGAAGTGGAGCAGCTGGGACTCGAACTGGCACCCATGTGGGATGCCTGCACTGCAGACAGTGGCATTACCAGATACGCCACAGCGCCAGCCCCATAGCTCATTTCAATTCAATGATCATTTGTATCTACTATATGCTAGCTTTATTGTTTGCTGGGAAAATAACCATTAATTAGTAAGTCCCTATGGCCTTGAGGAACTTGCAATCTAACAGGAACTACAGTCAAACCAACAGCCATAATTCAATATGAGATATGTTATAGAAGATGTAAGAAAAATCATAGATGTACAGAGTATTCTTTGAATAAATGCCAAAGAAACACAGATGAGGGAGAAATTTCACCCCCTTGAAGGTATAGATGCTTCAGAAAAACTACAAAGGAGAGGTAATATTTGTTACAGGCCCTGAAGGATGAATAGAAATTAATTGATGGGACTGGCGTACGGCTCACTTGGTTAATCCTTCCACCTGCGGCACCAATATCCCATATGGGCACCGAGTTCTAGTCCCGGTTGCTCCTCTTCCAGTTCAGCTCTCTGCTGTGGCCTGGGAAGGCAGTAGAGGATGGCCCAAGTGCTTGGGCCCCTGTACCTGCATGGGAGACCAGGAGGAGGCACCTGGCTCCTGGCTTTGGATCGGCATAGCTCCGGCCGTTGAGGCCATTTGGGGAGTGAACCAATGGTTGGAAGACCTTTCTCCTTGTCTCCCTCTCTCACTGTATGTAACTCTACCTGTCAAATAAATAAATAAAAATATTTTAAAAAAAGAAATTAATTGAGCAGATGAAGAGTGAAAGGGGTATGGGAGGAAGGAATTGCTTTTTTAAAAAAGAAAAATTACAGCATGAAAAACAAATCATATAGAAGAATCACTTGACTAGAGCATGGGTGTCATCTATGGTTGGTCATATATGACATGATCAGGTAAAGTTTAGAATGAACAAATGAGCACCAAGGCTGTTTAATAAAGGAGTCTGTAGAAAATAAATAGGAACCTATGATGGGTTGAACTGTGTCCCCTAGAAAAGACATAATCCCTAGTACCTCATAATGTGAACTTACTTGGAGTTTCCATTTTACTAGTGTACACATATTCTGTTTCTTCTACACAGTCAGTAGACCTTCCTACTTTCTCTTCCATTTTAGTTTTTCCTGGATGCCATGAGATTATTCTTAGCTCTATATTCCACCACCTTTAGACTATCCTTTTCTCCTCTATACACAGAACAAACCCCTAGTCTCCAGCTTAGGGTTTTTTTTTTTTTTTTTTGATGATTTGTTTATTTGAAAGGCAAATACAAAAATTCAGAGAGAGAAGGAGAGAGAGAGAGAGAGAGAGAGAATCTTCCATCTGCTGGTTTACTCCCCAAATTGCCGCAACAGCCTGGGTTGGGCCAGGCTCAAACCAGAAGCCAGGAGGCTTTTCTGGGTCTCCCACATGGGTACAGGGGCCCAAGTACGTGGACCATCTTCCACTGCTTTCCCAGGTGCAATACCAAGGAGTCCAGCTCAGATTTAGTACTATAAGCTCTCATCTCTTAGGGAGCTAGAACAGATACTGAAATACATCAAGCAATGCGTAAAATACAGGAAAAGAAAATGGCAAGAAAGGTACTGAGTTCACTCTGGGGCATTGTAGAGAATACATTTTTGACAGAAAAAGAACTCACTGACCCATCCTTTCTCCAGGACTGCTAACACTCCATATATCCTGTCAAAACAGCCCACTTAGTATAACTCTTCGGCAGGAACCCCCGTTCTAAAGTGACTCAGTTTGATTGTCTCTGCGGATAAATGGAAACTAGTTTGTGAATATGTCTAAATATCTAACATAGAAACTATAATAGCAATAGCCTTCTGTATGTACTAAGAGGTAAAGAAAGCTGGTCTGCAGAGAGCAATTTGGCAGATGTTCATAGAAACACCTGGAAGGAGGGAGGGAAGAAGAAAAACCGAGACAGAGGAAAAGAGAGAGGGTGGGCTGGTTCCTGCCTATGGATTCTATCAAAAACACCTCTGTGTCCTTCGGTTAGGTATACTCACTTTTTTATATTAGTCTCACTGGAATATGCTTCAAAGAATCCCAACCAACAACAGATACGCTAAGTCTGAAGTGTCTATCTAATATCCAAGAGAAAGCATAGATCTGAATACAGAGCAGAGATTAGAGTTGGACATATGATGTTGAAAAAAGAGTTCTCTGAGATCACTGGAGTAGATGAGGTTGCCAGAAAAAGCCCAAAGAGACAAAGGGAAAATTACGGTGAGGGTAAGAACAGATGAAAGACGGATCTCACCATCTTCACTGTCAAGAAAGAGGAACCAGTGAATATGTTTGGAAAGAACAGTAAATCAAGAGAGAATGCTTTTGTGGAAGCCAAGAAATAAAAGTGCTCCGGTTGTACAGAAAATCCAGCTACCAATAGCTTAACGGTATGGTGATTTATTTGTCTCAAACAGTAAGACATCCAGAGTTGGTAAAACAGATCAACAAAGTCATTGGGGACTCAGGGTCTTCCTCATTCTCCTGCCACCATCTTCAGTATCTAGATCTTGATCTATATGGTTGTTAAAGTTTCCAGGGCAGAAGGAAAAGGAAAGGAGAAAGGGCTGAAGAGCAGTAGGGGTGCCAGTTCGTTACAGAAAGTAAAAGCTTTACAAGTCCTTCTGTGTCACTGGTCACACCTCTGTCACTTGGCCATCCCCAACCAGAGGGATGCCAGGAAGTCAAGAAAGATGGAGCCAGACGGGCCAAGGTTGTGGGGGTAGGAGATGAATTAGATAATTAGGAAGTCCCTGGTAACTTTATCAAAAGCAAGAATTTTGGACTTATATTAGGTATAGAGAGTACATTATGGGTCTATTGGGCTTGTGGAAGACTGGGAATAGAGGGATATTTTTGCTATTTAAAAGGAGAATGGAAGAAGCAAAAATTTGAAAGGGATGTTTTGCTTAGTGTTAAAATTGTGAATGCTGGGGCGGGTCCTGTGGCATAGCAGGTAAATCCACTGCCTGCAGTACTAGCATTCCATATGGACACTATCCCATATGGACTCCACTTCCGATCCAGCTCTCTGCTATGGCCTGGAAAAGCAGTAGAAGATGGCCCAAGTCCTTGGGCCCCTGCACCTGCGTGGGAAACCCAGAAGATGCTCCTGGCTCTTGGCTTTGGCCATTGTGGCCATTTGGGGAGTGAACCCATGGAAGACCTCTCTCTCTCTCTGCCTCTAACTCTGCCTTTCAAATAAAATAAATAAATCTTCAAAAAAATTGTGAACTACGGCATATGTATCAGCTGAAGAGTAGACACCCTTTGAGGGCAGAGATTTAAAGTATAGACATATAAATAAAAGGCCAACTGTTAAAAAGTTCCAAAAAGATGAATAGCAGGGGATTACGCACATCCTTGCTAGTGACATCTTTTGCTCCAAAATAAGAAATAATGACAGCAAAAGTCTGGACATGATCAAGAGAAAAGTGGAATTGTTGGCATTTTATTAAACTGTTTAACTTTTTAAAGATAAAATGAGTTCACTATGAATCTGAGGAAGGGCATGAGAAAGTCCTTCGATCTCGATAGAGCTCAAGCTCCACCTTGCTTATTTAGGTCACTAGCTGATACAAGCTAAGTAGAGAAGACTGTAGGTATTCTTCCAGGTCCAGAACAGAGCCGAGAAGATGGGAGCTTTCAGGAGCATCTCAGTCTTCCACGTTTGCCCCACTCCTTCTCTTGGCTCGAGGGCTCCGGGGCAGGGGGTATGGGGGTGATGCTCAGAGTTTCTCAACATCCCCGTCAACACTGAAGGCCGTGAAGAACGAGAGATGGCAAGCAGCGGTGGGCAGAGACCTCGCTGGAAGCATCCAGAACAGGTTCTGTACATTTATTTCCATCGTGCTCTCAACTCCTTCACCTTAGAACTCCTCGAAGATGGCGCTCGGCGAGGCTAGAGAGCAGGAAGCCGCCCAAAGAAACCTATGAAGTGAGAAATACATCAAAGAAGAAACGACGGCAGGCAACGCAAGTTAAAGCTCCGGAGACTTCCAAATTCTTTGTTCCAATCTAACGAGCACTCCCTGACGCCCGTAAGAAAATGGCTCTCACTTTTCATTGGCTGCCCCTCCCGGAGCTGAGCCCTTGTGTCATTTTCATTGGTTGTTGCTGCTGTCACGTCCCTTCGCCACACCCACTTCCCCATCGGCGCCCAGTGAGCTTCGACGGAAAGTAATTTATACCGTTCGGGGGCGGGAGTCCGTACGCTGCAGGTCCGTTTCCCCCACCCCCGCGCCGCGGCTCCCGCCCCGCCCCCAGCCCTGAACCCCTCCCCCGGCCCGGCCGGGCCCCGCCTCTACCTCCCGGGAGGGCGGGGACCAGGCGGCGGCCGCAGCCTCCGGAATATGCTGGAAACCGGCGGGCGGGCGCCCGGGAGGTGCTGAAGGGACAGTTCCCGCCGCCGAACTTGCCCCGCGGAGGGCGGGCGCGCGGGTGGGGCGGCCCGGGGCCGGTGAGGCACGTGAGCGATGGAGACCATCTGGATCTACCAGTTCCGCCTCATCGTGATCGGGGACTCCACCGTGGGCAAGTCGTGCCTCCTGCACCGCTTCACCCAGGGCCGCTTCCCCGGGCTGCGCTCCCCTGCCTGCGACCCCACAGTCGGCGTGGACTTCTTCTCGCGCCTGCTGGAGATCGAGCCGGGCAAGAGGATCAAGCTGCAGCTCTGGGACACGGCGGGACAGGAGAGGTTCAGGTAGGGCCGCGCGCACTCGAGCGCAGGGACCCCCAGGGACCGCGGGGACGCCCCTTCCTCAAGGTCCCGCCCCGCCGGCCCCGGTTGGGAGAGGCTCGGGCCCTCCCCTCTCGAAAGTGCAAATACTCCATTCTCGCTTCCCCTTTGCCCCTCCTCTTCCAGGGACGACTTCCTCCTCCGCAATTTTTCACTTCTTTCTGGGTGCCCATTTCCTGCGCCCCCTTTCCGCCTTTCGCTTCCCCCCTGCACCAGGGTTGCCCCCGCCGCCCTCCCCTTTTCCCAACTCCTTCTGCTCCTGCTGATGCTTTGATCTCTTTGGGCTCGCTGCCGCTGCCTTCTCGCCAAACTCGGCTTCCCTCGCTGCACCCACCCTCACCCGACCACCCGCTCCCCTCCAAGCGCCTCTGTTTCTGCGCTAACCAAGCAGTCCCCCCGTTATGCGGTCCAGGAGAACGGCGAAGTAGGGTTCCCAGATTCGTGGTTGATGCTTTAGCTCCACAGCAAACAGTGCCCCAGCCTGGGTTACTGCATGAGCTCACTGGGCTTGGTTCACGGAGGTGGATGCGGTAATGGTTTGAACACCTCACAGCACTGAATGTAGTCATCAGAAATACTGGGCCATGACCCATGGGAATGGATCTTGTAGGACAGCTAGATGCAACACCAGGGACACTGGCCCCGCTGACGGTTTGGGTGTGTGTGTGTGTCTTAAAGAGCTGAGTTGTCTTTGGAAGTTTGTCATCATTGGTGCATCGATAGGAAAACGAGATATATTGAGGTTTGCCAGGAACTTTTATTTTACTCGTGATTGGCACTCAACATTCTGGGTGATAACAGAATAGAAAATAGCGTTTCTCGATAGAGAAGGAAGGATCCAAATTGAATAGTCTTATTCTAAATTAAAAGTAAACAAGATTGTGTGTATTTCATGCATTTATATTAGACACACCCAGGTTTAAAGCATATGTTCAGTTTCTGGGATTCAAGGACACTGTTTTAGAGGAAGGTCGGAAAGCTGGTGTATTATAATGTTTAGTATCTTAAAGACTGCATTACCAAGTGGAACTCATTTAAGCAAGCATTTTGCATTGGTCAGCAAGTACTCTTGTGAAATGTACAAGGGGACTTCCCAAACATGGCCTCTCTTGGCCCCCCAGCCAGCATCCGCTCCATGTGAATGAGGTCAGCCTACATCTGTGGGAATGGTCCAAAATTCAAAGTTTTGGCCTTCGTTCTCAGCTATGACACTGATTCATAAAGATAATAATGGAACTGCGTAGCTTGCTTGTACCTTAGTTTTTCCTGTGTAAAGTGGAAAGATGGTGAGGTCAGCCTTTAGAGAGGTGTTGAAGATTATTGATTTGATTTGTACTATATAAATATCTTCAAGAAATTCCTTTCCAAGAAGCTTCCTTTAATTAAAAGAGTTTTCAAACTTCTGATTCCTTATCCATGAAATGAAGGAGTCACTGGTCTTTAAGATCCCTACCAGTGTGACTACTCGAAGATTGATTCTAAGTTCTTTCATTTGCCGTCTCAGTCAGAGATGAACTTTGAAGTATCTTAGGGTCACAGAAAAACATTTACTAATAGATCTTGTTCACCTTTTAAAGTACATAGTACAATAAAAATGGATTCATTATGCCTTAAAGTTCTTGCAACTATAAGAAACATAGGCAGTAAAATCTTGCTGTGTCAAATTATTTCTTTAAATGTAGCTCCTCAACTTACTGACAGGAAAGTAAAGGATAATTTGTTGGACTTTAAAGACCTTTCTGCTAAATAGGTTAGTGTTTTTGGATGCCTTTAAGAAGGATGTGGAAGCAGGTGTTGTGGTGCAGCAAGTTAAGCTACTGCTTGGGATGCCCCCTTCCCATGTCAGAGGGCCAGTTCAAGTCCCTGCTGCTCAACTTCCAATCCAGCTTCCTGCTAATGTGCCTGAGAAAGCAGTGGATCATCGTGTACTTGAGTACTTGCTTTCCATGTGAGAGACCCAGAGGGAGTTCCTGGTTCGTGGCTTCAGCTTGGCCCCATCCCAGCTGTTGCAGCCATTTGGGGAGTGAACCAACAGATGGAAGATATATTTCTCTCTCTCTCTCTCTCTTCTCTCTTCCTTTGCCTTTCAAGTAAGTAAATCTTAAAAAATTGTGAATAGTAATTCATCTTAAATACATTATTAAAACCGCACAGTAACTCTCCCCTAATAATGCAAAGACATTTAGGGAATGTGTTGATGGACAATGAGTCATACTTTATTTTGTTTGGCTGTTGGCTGTTTACCAAAGATATATTCATGAATGCATTAATATTTCAGTAACTGCCTCCAAATACTTGCCTTTCTACTATCTGACAGAAAGTGTCACCATAAAATTGCATTTAAAACATTTACTGTTAAATAATTTTGTGTCTTTTGCTAAGAAAATATACTTATTTGAATGATAGATATCCTTGCACATTTTATTTCATAGAAAATACTATATAGTTCGTGAATTTATATTCCTGTCATTACTCACAATCATACTATGAGGATTATATATAATCACACTAGTGAGTAATGTATTTGGAGGCTTATTGGTAGTTAGGCATAAATGAACAAAATGGAACCTAGTTTAGCTTGAAACCTAGGATAGCTTGAAAATATGAACAGATATGTTACAGAACAATAAAATAGTGAGCTGATAATTATGAATATGATTGCCCTTAGCTTCCAATGTTCAGATTAACATTCTAGTAGCTGACAAATACTCAAAATAAAAAGGAACAAAATCAAAGTAGCTTTAGAAAAAGTATATATGTGAGCATACTGTAAATTGTAATATAACCTGAAAATGTTAAGCTTTGATTACTAACACAATGTATTAGTGAGGAAAAAAATGTTAAATTCCTATATTAAGGAAACTTGGAATTACAGTGCCTTCATCAAAGGTGTATGTTTATTTCTGCCTTGCATAATAGTCTCAAGTTGAGTGGTCCAAGCTAATGAAATGGTTTTGTTCCAGGCCATTATTTAGGTACCTTCTCTTAGTTTGCTGCCATCCTAGGACATTATCATCATGTTCATGGTCACAATTGCACTGCAGACACACAGTGTCAGCTCAGGAGAAGGGGAGAGAGGATCTAAACCAAGCAGTGTTCCTTTTACGCAAGTGAGGTCAATGTGGTTCAGATCATGTCAGCTGTCAACTCACTGGGGAGAACTTAGTTACAAGGTCACATTCAGATTGGGCCTTTCTGTGCACAGGAGGTAGAGAAAGGAACTTGGCGTTGCAGGTGTTGTAGAGAAACTACAGTCATCACATTTTATAATTCTTAATCATCATGGTGGAAGAAGTTTAGCAGTAAAAGAAATAAGAGTAAATAATGTTTAGTACAGCATTAATAAGGATAAATATATTGGAAGGACTAGAAACTTAAAGAACATTAAATAGAAGAAGATAGATTTTGAGTTTTCCTATAAAAAGTATTTAAAGTGATGTGAATGTAAAGTGAGATAAAGAAACAGCAGAGTTGGCTATAGGAATAGGAAACCTCTAGACTTCAAGCCAGATTTAGCCTTTTATTTCAGGTTGTCTGACCTTTTAGGTGTTACAGTTGCAGCCACTGGTTATAAAGCCCAGAGAATAATGTTCTCCTCATGCAGTGCTCTCAGAGTGTGTTATACAGAACACTCATCCATGTGATTCTTTTAAAGATGGGCTCTGTAGTCATAGAAATTTGGAAATCCCTGAATTGCATGTGACACTCTTAAAATTTTATTTCAAAGGCTGTAAGAGCTATTGCAGCAGAGGAATCGGTTTAACCTTGTTTAAGCTAGCATTTTCCAAATATTTCTGAGGGGTTAGTTAATTAATTAATTCATTTATTTATTTATTTTATTGGAGAGACAGACAGAGGCAGCCAGCCAGTGAGAATGCCCATCCACTGGCTTACCCCCCGCGGGAGTCAGGAGCTGAGAAACTCAAACCAGGTCTCTCCTGTATGAGGCAGGAACCTAACCACTAGAACAGTCACCACTGCCTCCCTGGGTCTGCATCAGCAGGAAACCTGAGAGCAGAGCCAGGCACCGAACCCAGCCACTCCAACACGGACATGAGTGTCTTAACCAGCAATGCAACCCATGTCTTAACCCCTGGGCTGATGCTAAAGAGCTAATTTTAAAATATGAAAATCTTGTGATAACTAGTATTGGGAGGCGTATAATTGGGAAAAGCTCCCTTGGTAAATTGCGTTAGCAAAGCTGCTGAACAATTGAGGTTGTAGTGGAAAACTTGGAGATGTTAGTTGGCCAGCCGACCAACAAACTAACAATGGACACAACCTCTGTCTCCCTCAAATCTAGGGGTGCCCTCTAACTGTTCCCTTAAATCTACCGAGTCTCCCCTAACCCTCTCCCTAATCTAACCCCTTCATCTCTCTTCTGCTTTATCTTTGTCTCCCCCTTCTCCCGACTTACTTTTCCTTCACCCCTAGCCTCTGCCTGCCCCTACTCATAGTTTACTCTCACTGTCTTTTTCTCTCCCTTGTTTATATTGTGATGTGACTCTTACTCTCTCCTTTTGGTTTATCTCCCCTAGCCCTTTGGCTGCCTTCTGTCTGTCCTCTCCTCTGCCTATTTGAAATTCATGTGAAGCTCATGTTTCAGAGTGCTTTGATATCTGTTCTCTGTTCTTAATGTTAAAAGCAAGTGACATCAACATTTAAAATTTTTCCTTAAGAGGTCTTAAGTCCCTAAGTAGTTGTTTTGTTGTTGTTTTTAACAAAAAGAATCTTTATTGGCTTGCCTACTCTCTATGCCCACCATGGCTTGAGGTCTCCAGTAGGAAAAGATTTTCTCTTCCTGGATTGGAGAGTCCATAATTGCATAGGTAATAGAGCAGCGGTAGTCCACAATTGTGTGCCATAACCACTGCAGTCTGTTGTCTCTGGTAACAGGGCCCCCGGCTGGGCTTATTCCAGGCTCTTCCTTCCATACATAAAAGAATTCAAGGCAGAGGCATAAA